ACACACACACACACACACACACACACACACACAAAGTGTCTCAACTCACACTACAGTCCTAAATATAATTCATTGCTTTAATTTAAGATTTTTTTTAAAGAATTCTCCATGTCTCTGTTCATTCTTGACATGAGACCAGAGAGAATTGAGGAAATTGGTTTCCATTGTGCGAGTAATGAGTTTCAGGAAGAGGAGGCCGATTCTTAGGACATTGAAGAAGCTTCATTCTGACTGCATTCACACTTACACTTGCACTTCCTCAAGCCTTCTTTCTCTTTTAAAATGTGTATGTCTCATTAGATTAACAAGGTAAGGATAGAAAAAAATGGTACAAAAGTCACAAGTAGGTCTATTTTCGACTTAGAACGTCATGCCACTTTGTAAGTTCACAGATAAGCACTGTTCCTGTTCAAGATGGCATAAATGTAACACTTCAACAGAGATTTGAACAGCAGAACATGCTCTGACTATTACTACACTGACAACAATGATGTCATCATAAAAAATGCATGCTGGATTGTGATTTTGTAATGTTTTGTCTTACATCTATTTGTACACTTCATTGTAATTACTCTTTTGTTTCTTGCATCTATTTAACCTTCATTAGGCACATGTTCTTTGTTTTGAACACTGATTGTCAAAAAAGGGATTTACATTTTCTTTCATTAGCTAAAACCTAAAATATACATTTTGCTGCCTTGCAAGCATTGATTTTTACACTTCTGGACATGCATTTGGTGTTTTCTTTTTTTAAGATACCTGTGGAAGTGCATGCAAAGCTGGGCTTGTTTCTCACCTTTGTGTGTGGAGGGTGTTTGTCCGGTGGCCACATTGCTGAGGTCTGCAGGTAAGCCCACATACACTCCACCATAATTCCTCCTCTTCTCATCATCCACAGACGAATCGTCCTGCCTGTGGGCCCAGAACCAGAACAGAACCAAGAGATGATCCGATGGGCTGATGTAAGAGGCGAAAAACAAAACTTAGAAAAGTTTGTTGCTTTATTAACCATATTACTGTGAAACCTTCAGGGTATATTATGAATGATTACATTTGAGTGAACAAATGATGACCATCATATCTGGCAAATTGTTTGATTCATTAAATCATGCATCAAGTTTTTGAAGAGATTATCCTACAGAGAACCTTGATTAGAAGCTCTGAGAATTTGATTAGCAGAGCTGTTACTGTATTAACAGCATTGCAAATATCACATTGTTTTCAAAAGAGACTTGTGAACATGTATGATGTATCAGTGATAGTGTGTTATTGTGGTGTGTGTGTGTGTGTGTTTTAGTGGCAGTGAAGGTCCAGATATGTGCGCACAAGACTCTCTCCTGCTGTGTGGGTGCTTGTTGTTCAGATGTGAGAGAATAATTCCAGGAACTGTTTGGAAAATGACAGGCAGTGTTCAAATCCCCACTATGTTTTTTTCTCAGAAGGGAAATTGATTGACAAGCAGTTCCAAAAACTGAAGGACACTGCGAGGATTACTAGCATCCTCCCTCCTGTTTTTCTCATTCTCTCTCTCTGAAGTCAGAGCCTTTGAAAAAAATCAAGAGATTTCATAAAAATTTGTCACCTCAATTTTTTGTGAAAACTGTGGGTTGCACAGTATATTTTGCTGTTCTGGCAATACTCACACATCTTTGACTGACTCAGATGGACCTGTAGAAATCAACAAAGGCACAAATTAGTCATGTCACATGTTCCTTGACCGTAAAATATACAGTATGTACACTGTGAAATTGTAAAAACATGTATTTCTCTCTGGAATCTGATTAATCTGCTTAACCTATATAAAAATACAATCCCACATTTAGTTTGAAAGAAAACTGATTGATTAAAAATAAGTGCAATTAATATGTCATCAATATGTTATTACAACGTAATAAAGCTATAATAAGAGTGTCATCAGGCAGATTTTCGTTCACTGGTATGGCGAGACCTCCGTCCAATGTCTGGTCAATCAAACTATGAGTCATCAAACGAACACTAATGTGTGTGTGTGTGCGCGCGTGCGTGTGTGTGTGTGCAACTACAGTTCTTTAAGTTAAGTGACAGGTGGTTATGTCTATTAATAGCATACTGTTTATGAATGCAAAAATACATATTGGCTGGCTCTCCACAGAAATATTAGACCATAGTCTTTACATACATCATTAAATTACTATCAATCAATCAATCATTAGATTACATTATGTACTTTGATAAATATTATAACTTGAAATAAATGGAAACATCTGTATTGATATGATTAAAAATCCATGAATTCCTGCAGACACAAGTCTGATTTACAATGCCAATAACATCTCTTCATCACCCTGTAATGCTCAAAATGCTATTCAAAATGACAGTGTGTTTGAGGACTCCACTAAGACCCTCACAAAGCGCTTCATCTCGATTCATGCCCATTCCTGCCACGGCTCCTGTTTGTTTGTGTGTGCGTACCCATGTGAGATGACTCATACTGAAGCACTGTTCAGATTGCCGTCTAACTGATTTTTGAAGAATGACTGAGGACAGAACGTTCACACAGACACACACACACACACGTACAGCCGAGAGAGACACGTCAGTCTCGTAAACGTTCACGGATCATGCAATCCCCTCACAGCAGAGTAAAAAAAACACCATTCATGAATATCATTTAGCCTCAATGGATCTCAAAGCACAAAACACCTGACCGCACTCAAAGAAAACCATCTTTATTTCTAACGGTTAAAAACTGTTAGGATCCAGTTAAATCTTCAAGGACCGGATTGAGTGAATCTAGATGTGTGAATGATTCCGTCCTGACAGACACTCTGATCTCCCATTCACAACATGAGAGTGTCTGGCCAGCAGCCAATGGTTAGTGGAGGAGAGAAAGATGACTGGATGGCTAAACATGAGCAGACATGGGCTTGTTTACAGAGCCCACTCACACCAACAAACAGACTCACACACACACACACACACACACACACAGAGAGAGACGTGAAGGCAGAAAAGCAGCACACTTACCTGCAGCTGTGCTGGCAGAGGTGGAATTCCCACAGCCCATGCTTCAAACTTTGTCAAAGTCAATCAAAGAGATGGAAAGAGGAGAGACAGACAGTGCTGAGGGCAATGAGAAGGGAAGAAGAGACAGATTACTGGAATTAGAAGGGAGAAGGATGAATGGAGGGATGAGGAGCGAGTGAGGATGAGGGAAGTGCGGTCTGATGCCTGAGTCTGAATGTGTCTGAGCTGCTATATTTCCTGCACTTCCCTTGTGTCTCAGAAAGAGAGAGCGAGAGAGAGAGAGGGGGGAGGAGGGAAATGTAGGTGGTAAGAAGTATTCCTCCACCCTGGCAAGGTTGCCCAGGTAACAGAGATTGTGTGTGTGTGTGTGTGTGTGTGTGTGTGTGTGTGTGTGTGTGTTGGGAAAAGGGCTGATAACACTGTTGGAATGGCGAAGCTAATTTCAAGAATTAAAATGCAGTGTGTGCAATTTCATATTCTCCTTAAATCAGTTGTTCTTAAACACGTGCCATGTAATATAAATATATATATATATATATATATATATATATATATATATTATTTTAAATTAATTGATTTTAAATCCTAAAAAAATATATATTCAGGCTTTTGTTTTCAGGTTTAAATAAGTTTTTCAATGTAGTCTCAGACTTTTGGAGCCCTTTTTTTGACATGCTGTTGCATTGTTGGAGATTTACTTGTTGCAGTGTTTTGTGGTTGTTTTTACGATGTGGTATAGTTTAGGATTTTTATTGTACATCTATAGATTTTTACGGGCTGCATCTATAGTCAAACTTTCAGGGTCAGATTGTTTTGGTGCTTCAAAATAGTTTTGGTTATTTTGTTTCAGTGAAATCAGGGATTGGTCATTACTTTGAAACCAGTTGTTTTAGCAGGCAGGTGAGGACATTGACTAATTATACATGCTGCTCTGGGCTGAAATGGGTCTCGGAGTCATGTACAACACAGAACAAAGAAGAAGAAAAAAAACAGGACATTTTGCTGATAAAATGGCTGGAAGTTCTGACCTATGCCACAGAGTACTAGAAAAGATTCAAGATTACAGCACAGTGCGCATTATCTTATCTGTGTAAGATCGTTCGTATTAACTCAGATTTGCAAGATAGCATTTCTGTCCGAATTGTGAAATAAATGGTCATAATTACTTTTTAAATTTGTTTATTGTTTAATCCCATGGCAGAAACTGGCTACCATATTTATCTGACTTAATGTGGACAGCAACTAATGATTAAATCCATCCTGAGACTTGTAAACATACAGTAATGCTCTTATAATGGAAGCCTATGGAGCAAATACACTGGAGGGTTTAAAAGCAGAAAAGTGAAGCTTGGGAAGCACATGAATTATTCATTAAATATGCAAATGATTAGATCTGTAAAGCTGTCCGCATCCTTTTAAGGTTGATGAATTTTAGCTGCTAACTTATTTTCTTGTTCTCTGTGTATTCAGCCGGTAAGGAGTCGTACACTTGGCCTTTTCACAAGCGTTATACTTCCCTTCACCATGTGCCTCCACTTATAGATTCAACTTCCTGAGAACGCTTAATGCTTTAGAGTCATCAGGTCAGTCTACTACTCCATTTAGACCTTGGACTAGTCAGCGTTATTCTTAGGAATAAAAAAACAAATGCTGTTTTTATTTTGTACTTTCCCATTACAAGTGCAGCTGATGATATCGCAGGAACACAATTAATTGATTCCCCCCTCCTTTTTTGTCTTGAATGGGTGTAATGAATGATTTGGGCAGCAGAGGACAGTATATTTACATTGTTAACAAGGTGTTTATAGCTCATTTAGGCAAACATGTGATACTGGCCTTCTATTCCTGGAACAAAACACCAACATTCAAAATATACCCCTCAAAATGGGGAAAAAAAGAGGTTCAAGCGGCAGAACCTCAAGAGGAAAACACTTGAAAATAGCTGGAGAGTGAAGCGAACAAACAACTCCAGCACACAACATCTAATTTAATGTCCTTTAGCTTGTTGTCCTTCAGCAAATGGCGTCACAGCCTCTTCTTTATGTTGGAGTTAACTCATATAAGTCCATGTTTGCCCTGGAAGCTCTCAAACCTTCAGGCAGCACCATTCAGGAGAAAACAACAATTAATGTCAACTTAAAAATAAAGTGAAAGAGTTAATGGTGTGGAGGGGGCTAGAAGGAAAGAGAGAGATGGTTGTGCAATCCTCTCTTTATATATATATATATATATATATATATATTTTTTTTTTTTTTTTTTTTTTTTCTCGCACATTATTACTACTTCTAACCATAAATATTAACATATATAGTATGATAATAATAATAATAATAAGAATACTTTAAAATTATTTAAAAAATAATTATTATTCAATCATTTTAAACAAGTGTAAATGTGCATTGTTTTTTTTTCTTCTCTCTCTCTTTGCCATTTTAATTGGCCCCTTCAGCAACTGTCAGCAGAAAATATTTGTATTGGCATATTCTGAGGATTTCTTTCCACTATTCATAACTGCTGAAGTAAAAGTGACTAGTTGGTTTTAAATGACTAAGAATATCCATAATTGCAAATTCTGCATCCGAAAAACGTCTGCACCGTCAAGAAAATAGCTTTGTTATTAGCTTTGTTAACATATGCAAAAGTACAAAAACATAAATGGCTATATAGAGATACTGTCTTTTAAGTTACAAAGGTTGAGTACCACTGATGAACAACACAATAATTACAGTGATGTAACAAATAGTAGAATGATAGATATAGATGGATTGTAGCTTATAGGAGCAGCATACACCACAACTCAGTAAATGTCTCAGTATCCATGTTCTCAGCCTTTCCCCAGTTGTTTTAGCAGGCAGGTGAGGACATTGACTAATTATACATGCTGCTCTGGGCTGAAATGGGTCTCGGAGTCATGTACAACACAGAACAAAGAAGAAGAAAAAAAACAGGACATTTTGCTGATAAAATGGCTGGAAGTTCTGACCTATGCCACAGAGTACTAGAAAAGATTCAAGATTACAGCACAGTGCGCATTATCTTATCTGTGTAAGATCGTTCGTATTAACTCAGATTTGCAAGATAGCATTTCTGTCCGAATTGTGAAATAAATGGTCATAATTACTTTTTAAATTTGTTTATTGTTTAATCCCATGGCAGAAACTGGCTACCATATTTATCTGACTTAATGTGGACAGCAACTAATGATTAAATCCATCCTGAGACTTGTAAACATACAGTAATGCTCTTATAATGGAAGCCTATGGAGCAAATACACTGGAGGGTTTAAAAGCAGAAAAGTGAAGCTTGGGAAGCACATGAATTATTCATTAAATATGCAAATGATTAGATCTGTAAAGCTGTCCGCATCCTTTTAAGGTTGATGAATTTTAGCTGCTAACTTATTTTCTTGTTCTCTGTGTATTCAGCCGGTAAGGAGTCGTACACTTGGCCTTTTCACAAGCGTTATACTTCCCTTCACCATGTGCCTCCACTTATAGATTCAACTTCCTGAGAACGCTTAATGCTTTAGAGTCATCAGGTCAGTCTACTACTCCATTTAGACCTTGGACTAGTCAGCGTTATTCTTAGGAATAAAAAAACAAATGCTGTTTTTATTTTGTACTTTCCCATTACAAGTGCAGCTGATGATATCGCAGGAACACAATTAATTGATTCCCCCCTCCTTTTTTGTCTTGAATGGGTGTAATGAATGATTTGGGCAGCAGAGGACAGTATATTTACATTGTTAACAAGGTGTTTATAGCTCATTTAGGCAAACATGTGATACTGGCCTTCTATTCCTGGAACAAAACACCAACATTCAAAATATACCCCTCAAAATGGGGAAAAAAAGAGGTTCAAGCGGCAGAACCTCAAGAGGAAAACACTTGAAAATAGCTGGAGAGTGAAGCGAACAAACAACTCCAGCACACAACATCTAATTTAATGTCCTTTAGCTTGTTGTCCTTCAGCAAATGGCGTCACAGCCTCTTCTTTATGTTGGAGTTAACTCATATAAGTCCATGTTTGCCCTGGAAGCTCTCAAACCTTCAGGCAGCACCATTCAGGAGAAAACAACAATTAATGTCAACTTAAAAATAAAGTGAAAGAGTTAATGGTGTGGAGGGGGCTAGAAGGAAAGAGAGAGATGGTTGTGCAATCCTCTCTTTATATATATATATATATATATTTTACTTCTTTACCATAATTGCTGTCTTCACATTATTCAGCAGATCAAGTGCACAAACAAATAAACAATAAAAAATTTTTTCATTTATCGCTCCATTCACATGCTCATTTCAGTCAGTGTTCCATGCAAACATGTAAAGAAAAAAAGGCTTCATTTGGCACTATTTTGTTGGCAGAGGAAAAAGAATACACAAGCAAGAGCGCTTTTATACGGAATATCAGCACATATAGTGCAACACCAAATCCAACTACATTTGAGTTCCTGTAAAACAGTGTTATTTTACTTATCTTTACATACTGTAATAGTCTTTAGCAATATTTTGATATGAGCTTTCATTTTTACATATTAATTTTAAATTTAAGTTAAATTTTTTAGATTTTATTTAATGCAATTGACATTTTGGTTAGTTTTTGTAATTAGTCTTTTTTAAATATATTTCTAAATTGTTTAAAATTAGTTTGATTTCAGTTATTTTAGTCATTAAAATTTAATTTAGTTGCCAAAGCAACATTCAAATTTTTTATTTTTTTTTTGTGTTACATTTAATTTGAGCCTTTTTTCAATTAACGATAATGTTTTAAGTTGCAGTTTCAGTTAACGACAACACCACTGTGAAGTTACTTGTATACATATTCATGCTGTAATATATTTTAGACTGGTGCATTCATTTCCTGGAAGGCACATCCAACACATTAACATTGACAGTAATGGCTTGGACATTATTCAGTACAAACCATTTACAGTCACTCCCACCTTCTGCAGTAAGTTAATGTGATGGCATCCTAATCTACATACATCACATCTACAATTTATTCCTTTAGTAATGGTCTCTAGACCAAAAAAAATGCTTTCAAATGCACTTTTTGGAATTGATTTATTGACCTTGTCGCCTCCAAATCTCAACATTTGGCCCATCAGTTGTCTTTTGTTGCTTGAAAACAAACATTTAGTGTGTTTGCCACTGAACAAACTCTGACTGCTAGGCTACTTAAATATTAAGGGGCATCAAATGGACTATACAATCCTAGTTAGTATGAATATGTTTTACCACCCACGTAACAA